TTTTTTCTCCTTCCTCTTATGAGCACTGAGGATGAGGGAAAGCTTTATAGAAAATACAATTTTTTTACAAGTAGATGTGAAAAGAGTCAGGCCTGGGTTTAGCTGATTTCATCTGGCAGTTTTCCAAATCTGCTTTTCCTCAAAGAAAATATTTCCTTTTTCTGTGCTATTGGTCAGTCTGTTGGATTCTCCCAGTGGAAAACTATGTTGGAGGGATCAAAACAACCAAAAGAGCTCGTGAGCTCCTAGGTCTTGCAAGCCTCATATGTATATTTGGGCTTCATCAAGCCCTAGGGTGTTTTTCTGTGGTTTACTATATTACAAGAACATTGACTCTTTTATGTTGAGATGGACACAGAGCCTGTAAACTATTGTGAAGTTACTGTTGGGTAGCAGCAGTGGTTGTAAGCAATCAAGAAGTGATTTTTCAATTACTAATTGAAAATAGACATGAAACACACGATCATAAAGCTCCCTAAGGATATTAAGATGTTCATGTAGTTGGATGGGGGAAGCTTTGGGACAAAGCTTTGGAAAGACAAGTGTGGTAAAGAGAAATATGGAGAGTGAGAACTCACTTGGTCTTTTCAGCTGCTGGAACCCTGATGTTATCACAGTTTAGACAGTTTGCATCAGGTGAGTACCCTGGCCCACACTGCTGCCCACTCCAAGGTTGGACACAAAGAGTTTTTTGTTTGAGCAAGAAGAAACTGCCCCAAAATGGGATCCATTTTCCTCAGTATTGTGAGACTATTCACCACATATTCTCTGTTATTCTAGTGGAAGCTGTCCAGGCAGATCATGAAATACCTGCTAGGCAAATGCTTGACGGCAGGAACTTTTTCAGCTGAACCCTTATTTCTGTATAGCAAATAAGCTCAACAGAATGGCTGTGGCTGTCAGTGCTGAAAGGTTTTATGGGGTTTTTTGAGTTTGGCTTTTTTTTGAGGCATCAGTGGTATGACCACCACTTTTATCACTTCAACCTTGTGTACAGCTCTGCCCATCTCATTACCCTGCTTGCCAGTGTGTGGCTGCAGCGGGTTGTTTGGTCTGGTCCCCCAGTGCCATCCCAGCCCCTCCCCTGGTTACATTCAGTCCGTGGAGGGTTCACAAGACTGAGACACGTGAGTTGGCTGGGAATAAGGAAACGTATGGAAATCGGGAAACAGCAGAAAGTGCTGAAAAAAGGAACAAATCCTGAAGGATGAGACCAGGCAAAAAGACAGGGAGGAGCTAGCAGCACGCAGTGCTGTTGGGGGAGCTCCGCCAGCCCAGGATGCAGGGCCTGAATGCAGATGAAACAGCAGCCTCCTGCAGTGTGGAGCTGGCTCTCCTGTAAGAGCTCCTCAATGCATGCACAGTTAAAAATAAAAGGTGTTTGTACAGTGTTGACTCTCCACGTGCTAACATGAAGAAGAATACAAATAGAAGAGTAAGCAACAAGGAGGAGGCGGTTTAATGGCTTTGGGGATTAGCAGTGGTATTTAGAGCCTTTCACCTCTCTGTTCCTAACATAAATCTTAACACAGATTGATGGTTTTAGCCATCTGGCTTGTGTTTGCTTCTATGCAATGACTAGTGAGACAGAGAAAGAACCTGACTAGCAAGGCAAAAGAAAAAAATAAAGTATACGACAGAAGAAGGCATCCTCTTCTCCAGTGTCAGTAAGAGCAGGTATGGTACAATTACTCTGTTTCACAGAGCTCAGCAGGTAACAAGGGAGAGGGGAATGAAAGAGTAACAGGCATCACTTGGAACATGACTCTACCAGGGAGCCTATGACTTATACAAATGTGTATGCTCTGAGCGACTTGCTCCCAAATGCAAAGCTCTGTGATCTTTAGAGATACAGTTACCTCAGATAGCATGAGAGTTAGAGGGCGAGTTTCAATCATAGGTTCACTCTCAACTGTAAATTATTTTATACTTTACTGGAAACTGTTCTCCCATACATCAGCCATCTAATACCTTAATTTTATATACTATAGCCCAATTTACAAGCTGGAAAATTTTGTACTCTCAACCATATGACACATTTTGGGTTAGATGGCTTCCTTGTATCCCAAGCCTTCTAAATACTGATGCGGGCTTTCTTGGGGGGGTGGGCTGACACTTGCAGGGAGTCACTGTCAGTCTTCCTCTCACTTCAAGCTGCAAGGTCTGTCATTCCTTTTTCAGCAAGGTCATCTTGGTAGAGCTTCCCAAAATCCAGGGCTTTAGTGGGAAGCCATGTGAAAGTTTGCTGTTCTGCTTCTCCAGTCAAAAGAGCAACCAAGAATGGGTACGTGCATACACACCCTATAGCGTGTTTTCCTAGCCAGTTATTTTTCAACAGCTCTTGAGTAAGGATGTGAGCTACAGAGGACATCATTTTCAGTCTTTCAAATGGGGGAGTTTGGCCAAGAAATACTGATGGTATGTCTTTAAGGAAATGGTTACTAGCGTAGAAGATTCACTCTTGGCTTCTTCTCTGGTTTTCCTCAATTTTGATTTGAGTTTGACCATCTGTGGTGCATATTTCAAACCAAAGCAAACCTCTAGAAGGCTTCCTCTACATGGAGTAAAAAAATGTATAGGAAACATAAACACCATCCCCCCCAAACCCTAGGTATTACAAATCTAATTTATAGCAATCTTGGCACTGATTCTGCTTTATATTAGGCATGTAGAGCTTCAGTAAAAAATACTTCTACTTGCTTTTACTTCTTCAGAACCAGTAACCAAAAAACTGCCTGTAATATCATTCTTTTGGGGGGAAGTGAATGAATTTTGGATATAGATTTCTAAAATACTGAGTTTTGTCTCAAATAATTGGTTTTGGCATAGAGGTCTGCCAACTAAACATGGTGTTTATCACTTTAGCCAGCCAAACCAAGGTCAGTGAAAGAGGCTGCTTTATATTGGACAGGGAAGCACTTCCGCCAGATGCATTAATAGTGTACGAGTAAGAATTATAGACACATGAAGTGACTGGGGAGTGCTGTGGGCCAAAGTGAAACTCAAATTCAGATCTAGATTGGGGTAGAATTTTCAAAGGCACCACAATGACCTAGAGATCATGTCACCAAGCAGTTGGGAGCCCAATTCCCATTTTCAGTAGTGACATGAGGACTTTACTGTCTTACAGCAAGACTTAGGTTCCTTTTCCCAGGAAAAACAGCCTTTAATTCACAATTAGTTCACAAAAGCAGTCTTTGCCTCTTCATAATTATATTGCATAATGACTTCACTACTTTTTAATAACATCAGATTTCTTGTCTGTGTCCATTATCACGATCTTAGAAGCTATTCTGTTGCTTTGGGAATTTCATATTCCAAGTCACTTACAGCACTATAATTAAGAACTTCCGCAGAAGACCAGGTGATATATGTATGTTAAGATATTATATTCTGCTGATTTAGTGTCAAGTCTTAGAGTAATTTGAAATTTTATCATGCTGGTTTCATTGCAAATGCTTCCATAGAAAGAACATGTTATTGGAAACTGAATAATTAATAATCTCTGTGTTAACCAAACGTTTTCTGAGTGGTTTGTTGAAAAATGTCAGGACTCCAGTTGAAAATCCTGGCTCTGTTGAAGTCAGTGGCAGAAATCCCATAGGCTTTTACAAGATTTTTCATTTTCTTATCTCAGAAGTCACTTGTCAAAGCTCCTTAAAGTTTCTGTGTACGAATTCATATTTGTACAGTAGGGGTCCATGTGCCTTTTTGATCTCCAAAATAATGGTTTGCAGAATAAGAAGAAAGGAAGTAGAATGTGCAATGACTTTTTTCAGTCCTGATCCTTTGAGGTAGACTAAAACGTACTCAGGAGAAACGTAACCTGCTGTTGTTTAGTGGCTTCTGAAAGTCCTGCCTTCCAGATCATGTCTGAATGAGATGGAAGGGAGAGAAGGATGGATATGGATACATCTACTGTAGATTCACAAGCACCCATGAAAATTCTCATGCTCGTAATTTTAATGCTTATAGCAAACATAATTCCCAGTGGAGGCCTCTATTGTTAACCAATTGTTCTGTTCTCATGCTACTTAAAATAAACTTTCAGGCTTCAAATCTTGATGAAAACAGCTTAATCCTCATAGGACGTAGTACAGCATTTGGATCTCAGTGGAGTTCATAGTATAAAAATCTGACCCTGTAAATTAGGACCGAAATACTACTCTTAGTTTTGATTACCATTGATTGTAATACTGCAAAACTCCTTTGGGTTCAAATGGTGCTCATAATATGCATATATGCAAGTTTGAAAGATGTTAAACTTTAGACAGAAATTGTAGGATTGCTACAGAATTTGCCCATGCCCAAATCTATTTAAAAGGATATAAATGGAGTCTATATGAATTAGGAACATAGTTAGCATAAACTTCTGTGGTTAATGAGTTCTCCATTAGATGATTAAGGCTCCAGAACATTGAATTACCTAGATGTTAACTAAAGCTAATTTTTTTTCTTCATCAAAAAAAAAAAATGTGGTAAGAAATTCCTTTGTTACCAAAATGCAACTTGTTGCAAAAGGAATCTGCTTTCTTCATATATCGTCTTAATTACAAGCGTTCAATTCTTGGCTGGTCCAAGTCTGGTCTTAAACCAAAGTTCTGTCTGGCAAATTTATAATAACTTCTTTATGTGGTACGATATTTGGATAACTAATTCTCATAACATAGCCAGCTGTTCCCAGGAAACAAAGCAGACCGAAACTTGACAAGTAAACCAAAAACTCTGCTAGAAAAGAGAATGCAATTTCATTTTATACAAGTCATAATTTGCAGAATTCTGTAAATTATGCAGAATTTTATTCCCTGTCTTTATTTGCTGCATTTTCTGTATCTGGTAGTAACTGTCTAGTATCAAAACCTTCTTTTCCCATCCACCTCCAGATCTCACTGCACAGTGTTAAATGGGGGGAGGTGAGCTAAGATATGGGCAATTTGAAACATGGAATATTTCATTTTAGATGTTTCCTGATACCATTTTCTTTCAATTTTTTTTGACAGATGATGCAAATGAAGAAGGGACTGAGCTGAGTGAAGAGACAGGTGAGTTAACAACGTTTTATGCTAAAATACATCACTTCTCCGAAGCAGCAACCAAACTGAAAGAATTCATGAAACTAATTGCCTTGGTTGTGATAAGCAGTGCCAGTCATTTACTGCCGATTTACGACAGTCATCTCTGGGTTTTAACATAACATAGGGCAAACCATCCCTGATAATAAATAGTACATGGCAAGAATGGCTGACACTACCTTTTTAATGTCATCATCTGTTATGAGCCTCTGGGTGATACTCAGTTGCTTCTTATTAATAACTAGTTTGAACATCAGTGGGAAATAATTAAAATTCTGCAGTCTTTTTATCTGTAAAAAGGTGTGAATACAGCAATTCTTGAGTCATTTGCAATTCTGATTAGCGGCCATGATTTGTTTGCAATGAAAACGGTAGCAAAACTCTCCCGCAAACTCTTTAATACATTAAACTTGATTGGACAGTATTTCAGAGGGCTTTTTTTCCTAGTCCTCCTACTTTGCTGCTTAAAACAAGTGTCAGTGTTTAGGGTTTGTGGATGTGGATAGACTTGAAATGAAAATGATAGATAGATATAAAGGAAAAAAAAGCCCGAGGAACAAGAAGAGGAGAGGATGTAGGATTAGATATCTCCCATGATGACAAAAGCTTCCAGTCAGAAGACTTATGCTAGTTTTTGTAGAGAGCTTCATCCACTTAATCTTCTTGATACAGCTTTTTGTAACAGGTTTCCACCACAGCACCCTGTGTTGCTTTCCCTGCTGACCTTCTCCTAGAGATTCTCAGTGGACAAATCCTGTTCCATGAGACTCCTGGCAGTGAAGGACCTCCTTTTATAGGCAGCGTAGCTCCTCCTACTCTTCTTCTCTGCCTCTCCTTCCTAAGCATCTAGTACCCTTCTGTGACAGCGCACCAGGCACGTGTGCTATCACCCAGCTCTCTGTGACCCTGATCCCATCATAGCCCAGTTAGTGTGCAGTAACTTCCAGTTTTTCTCTTTATGAGAAGATGCAGAATCAGAAAGGAGAGCTACATGGAGAAAGTCAGAGATATACCAGACAGAAAACAGAGGTAAAAGCTTTTGAAGCAGTATGCTGGCTGCTTAAATTGGCAAAATTGTTGTAAAGACAAATGGATTATGATGATTTATGCAACCAGTTAATTAGCTTAGAAATTAGAAATATTTGAAGAATGGTGTGTATGCATAGATGTGAAAACGTGGATATACACAGATAGATATGTGTTACACTGATGGATTAGCATATTCTTTTATGGCTGTTCTGGCCTGTTGATTTTATTACATATAATTATAATTACTTTTTGGTGTCAAGATTACTGGATAGGAACTTTTAGAAATTTTAATACAATTACTGTGATTGATATAGTTATAAATACATACATAAAAGTAGAAAAATAAAGACTGTCATTATACAACAAACATTTGCCAAAGATTTTCCTGCAGTTGAATTTGCAGTATTCATCTAACATTTCATTTTTTACAGTTATCATGGCATGTATACTTTTATAAGCCCAATTATTTTGCATTTTTGTCTTGCTTTTATGGAGATTATGCAAATTACATTGATTTTTTTTTTAAGCAATTTAAATTAGAATTAAAAGGAAGTGCATTTCCATTTAATAGCCGGTCTCTTCTTTCTTGCCGTGTATCCTTCACAGCTTCATTGATTTAGGTGAAGCTACATAACTGCTTTGGGAAATTATCATTGAATTAAGTCATTTGAGGAAAATATTTCCCTAACTGTCTGTTTCTTTGTGTATATGAGATAGCTGAGATCATAGCTTCTCTCACAGGTTTGCCTGTAGGGTGCTATAAGCTTCAACAGCACATACTTGTTTATTTCTTTATCACCTGGATATATTTTGGGAATCAGTGTATCGATTGTCAGCAATCGATATCTACATGGCTAAAGAGAAGTATTATCTTTTGTAGAACTGCTCCAAGTAGTGGGGCAGATATACAAAAGTTATGCCCTTTTGACCTATTTGTGTATCGACTTCTTAATGATTGTAGGATGTGTTTATGGGAACTATAAATGCAAATGTAATTTCTGCATTAGGGGGAGTTTTAATTTTTTATATTCAGATTTTTATCAGTTTGAAGGATATCTGCTTTTTTACTGTACTAACAGAAGACCAGAGTAGCAGCTTCTAGTTACCATTTCAAGATATTAATTGAATAATCATTCTTCATTCCACTTGACTTCATGGGTCATGACTCCAGCAGATGGAGTCAGCAGTTGGCATCAATATTGATGACCCTGGTTTTTTGAGCTGTCCATATCCAATCTGTTTTGGGATTATTTCTTCAATTCCTATTCTTAAGGGGGGAGGGGGGAGAAAATGTTGAATTCCTGGAGAGCACATGTTGCAGACTACACACATGTAGGACCTTTGGCAGAGACTGAAATATTCTAAATTTCACCTAAATTCCTGTGTCTCCAACTTCCTATTGACTAGGTGCTTCTGAGGGCCAGTATGAAACCAAGAGGAAACAGAGTAGTACAACAGGGTCACAAATGAGATGTTAGACTCATAGTATCTGTACCAACCTCCATTTGAAGAATGTAGTAGAATGAGATAGAGGTTACAGAATCAGTCATAATTTAAACCTTGTGGCAAGAATTAGAAGAAAAAAACCTGATCCTGGTCTGGTGTCATCTGAAGTTAGTGGGAGTATGTCCATGGACTTCAGTGCACACCAGATTAGGCCTTGGAACAGCTAGCGCATTAGCCAGGAATAAGGAATAACAGATGACCAAATGTGTGCATTATTGAGTGATGGATACATTATGAAAGTAATCTGTCTTGTGTTTCTACCACTCTAATGTGCAAATATCTAAGTACATTCAGAAAGGCCTTTCTCTCTATGATTTCTCTTCAAAATAAGTAAGGGAGTATCTTAATTGCATCTGCCAGATAATCTCCGTGAATATCTACATTAATACTATAAAATCAACAAGCGTGAATCATTTTAGCGAATTAATCACATAACATCACTGCATATATTGGATGTTCTAGAATAAGAAAAACATTTAAAAATAAAAAATAACCTAGTCTTATTAAATATACACACTCAGGGCCACTCTTTTAATGACGTTTGACACTCAGGATTTTAACCTGTCAGTTTGTTATTCTGGATGCCGTGTCTTGTAGCAGCTGCTGACTTAATGGCACCATTTAATTCAAAGTGCTTTGATGTTATCATATCTCATACAGTTTGCTGATAGAATGGCTTGAGTCAAAAGGGTAGATATAGTTATAGCGGGTACGGACTGTGCAGTTCTACATCTCAGCTTTACTGTATGAATGATTTCCTACATGAGAAAAGAGAAGGACCAGATGACCTAATAGCCTTGTCTACCTTTTAACTTCAGTGATTTAACACTGCAGAGTCATGATGCTTAATGTTTTAAGCTCCATTAAGGGAAGATTGTTCTAAACTTTTAACTTCTGAAGGACTTTGGTTTTATACCCGTAGAATCCCATATCGATGCAAAGAAGCATGCAAAATAAGCCCTAATACTGCCATAATTGTGGGAGCAATTGCAGGGATTGCACATGGAAATTATAGAAGCATGTGCTATTATGAGAAGCATGGTCCAGATTCATACACAATAGTATCATGTTATTATGCACTCATATAAGTTAATTCTCTTACTATTAAAAAAACCCCAAACAAACAAACAAACAAAAAACCCCCACAACGACAACCAAAAAACCCAAACATACAGAAGAGAGTTTCAGTTCTGAATCTATATTCTCCCTCAACCTGTTCAGTTTCACTCTGCACCAGGTACCAAAACCTTTTGTCCTCATCTCTATGAATGCTGCCACATTGCTGTCTCTCATTTCTCATCTAGTAGTTGTTCATCATAAATGCCCTGCTGGTCATACTGTTTCTATCCTGAGCATCCTAATTAACCACCTATTCATTACTCCACAAGAATGGCAGGATGAAGGATTTTGTTCACACTAACAAGGGAAGCCCTATTATAATCAATGCTGTATAAATACAGAATTTCTTTGTATACTCCACTGTGTGCACACTCTTGTACTTGGATACTTTTTTTGGAGGGAGACTTTCTCTTTTTTTTCTGATATTAAAATAGCAATCACTTGTAACCAGGGAGATTTGGAACTTGTGAGGGATTTTGGGAATAGCATACTTGGAGACAGACTGTAAGATTTAAGTGGCTTGTTGACCCTCTGAATTAACCTATAAAAAAGAATAATTTCTCCCAGTGTTAGAGCTCAGAAACTTTTTTGCACAGATGATCATAAATAGAAAAGCTTATCTTATGATCAGTTCAGACACCTGTCCTGGTGTGCTTTTTTTAAACACAGTTTTGCAGGCAAAATTTCTCTAATGTTTGTCTTAACTGTTCTGAAAAACATAGATACTGTTGGAGAGCAGAAAGGGTTAAGAGTTGTATTCTGACCATAATAAAAAGACATCATTTTGAAGCCTGCACAAATCCTTTTCTGTCTCTGGAATGGGGGAAATCTGCTAAAAAGCTGTGAAATTGTGATTGAAATCTTGTTCTCCTGGGACAGTGCCTCTGCATCCTTTTGTGAGTATTTTAAAGTTCTTTATAGAGTGCAAAGATCATTTCTCTTGAGATAGTATCATTTCTAACTTCTCTGAATGTAAGCCTCCTCCCTCTCCATCTTTGTGCTGTCAATTAAGATGTTGGTTATATTATCTAATGTATTCAGATACTCCTGAAAGACCTGGCTGGACATTTGCACTTAAACTTGATTGACATTTCACTTGTGGCACTGGAGGAAGCCTTACAGATTGGTTAGATGATAAAATTCATCGCTAGAGCAGTGAATGTTGATTGAAACACTCCTATTGATTCAGTCCCCCGATGTGAATCATTGTCAACCAAAAAAGGGAACGTAGCAGGTAGTTCAGAGTGGCATTAGAACCAAAGAAGCCATACATCAGTATGGTCCACTGTAAATATTCAAGTTCTTTCTTAAAAGAATGGGAGAATGCTGGCAGGAATCAATCTTTAAAAGCCTGGTTATTTTCAGAATCTCTCTTTTGCACTGAAGTTCTTGTTGAACTCTATTGCCATTGCTCCTGAGTGGTCCCTTTAAACAGTTGACAAAATGTTTCTTTATTTGGCAGGTTTTGCCTTTATTTTTCCCCACAGTATTTCTTGTGGTTAATCCTACATTCTCACCACTCTAGAAATAAATTCATCTTAGCACTAGAAAACTCTTTGTTTTCCTCAAAATATTGTATTTTAATTTCAAATTCACATGAGCAAATGCGATGACATGACACATGATGTCTTACGTGAAGTGCTGTCGGGAGGGGTCTGCCTCCTGATACCAAGCCAAACCTCACAGCATGTTCTGCTTTGCAGTAACTGGCTTTACTTACTGATCACTAAGGGCCCTTCATGCCCTGAACTATATGGAATTCTATTACAAAACAGAAATTCTGTTCTAGAATAAACCTTTAAGAACAATATTCAGTTGGGCTTTTTGGAGTAATGCTTATTCCATAAAATTAAGCAAGTGAGATGGAGTTTAAGTACTCACATAGAGACCTCAATTTGGGGATTTTTGTTGACATTTTGAGCTGTTGCTTCATGTAAAGTTTCCCAATCCGTGGCCCTTCTTTTTCTTTTTTTTTCTTTTTTTTGTTTGTTTTTTGTTTTGTTTTGTTTTGGTTTGGTTTTGGACGTAAGTACAGTAGAATAACAGTTTCCTAGGAGTGCAGGCAGAGAATATTTCTGAGTTTCCCGGGCTCCATGCAAAGCCATGATTCACTCCCTTTTTGTCTCTTGAACAAACACAGCATTCCCCTTGACCCTGCAAGTTACCTTTCCACATCCTTGCTTACTTCTTTCATACCTCCTGTTTCGAAACTTTCAGCATTTTAATTCTAGATATATGTAGTTGTGGAAGGGTGGAAGATAAAAGGGGGTAGTATCAACAGCACTTAGCAGAGCTGAGTACTTTATGAGAACTGGGCATCTGATTGCTGAGAGCTGTTTAAAAATCCAGTGACGTACAGAGTAGATGATTGTGCGGGGTATGTGTGACAGCAGAAGAGATGGGAGCTTTCAGAACACTGAAGCAATTTATAATACACATGTAGATAGCTTTTTTCTCAGTTGCTAATTAGCTAATCAGTTTGAGGTCATACCATGATTCCTGTTTTCTCACAGCACAGGAATAGGGGTAAATCAAGCAAGGTCATGTGTCTTCCCAAATTTCCTGGTTACAAGTGGTCAAGGTTTCTTTCCAGCATACACAAAAGTACATTTTCCTCAGGCTTCTCCTTCTCCCAAGCGCTCAGCTGGCCACAGGGAATTGGGAGGTTTGACAGAAAGTCAAATGTCAGAAAGTGATTTTCCTGTCGTGGTTGAATAGATTCAATAGGTGCAATGAATTCTGTTTTAATTGTCTGCCATTCTCTGCTTTCATGGTTAAGCAACAATGTTTGAAGAATGTTTTAATTAGTGAACCTGCTTTCTTTAACCATCTTAATTTACAAATACCGTTTATGATTAATTTCCAGCTTGGCCCTCCCTTTTGTACTAATGGGCTTTCTGTGCTAACTGTTCCTGCCTTGAGGTCTATCATAGCAAACAAACAAATGAAAGTAATTTCATCCTTTATGTGGAGATGACAGGATATTTTGAAAATGTTGTAGAAAAACTGCATAATTTTTAAAGTTTAACAAACATATTAAACAGTGTGAACTTCAGTCCCTACAAACAGGAGAGATCTTAAACTTAATGGGCCCCAGTTACTGTTCTTCCTTAGGAGATCTTCCCTGTCCTCCTTCCTGTAGTGTTCTGGCTAGAAGGTTGCAATGGATTTTTTCAGCCAGAACAATTCTATCTTGTAAAGCTTTAATTTCCTTAACTTTACCTCACTATCAAACTTGCTTCCCTACCTTTCATTTCATTACTAATTTCAGTCAATATTTATTTGTTACTGTGTTATAACATTGAATGGAGAATTGAGCTGAGGGGAGAAAATTTCATTCAGATTATTTCTCCACAGTTCTGTGATGCAGTAAAATATATATTATCTTAAAAACTACAAATTAAAACATTCTCTTTTTATTTCTGAAAAGATTAAGATCTTGTGAAGAAGTACGTTATTTTAGTATGACCTTTCTTCACTGCTGTCCTGTGAAAATTAGAGAAAGTCCATCCTAGGCTGAAAGACACCTATTCTGACTTTTACAGCAGATGATGCAGTAATTAATTTTAATAATAGAAAGATAGACATCAGGTACTGAATTGAGTGCTGAGATAAAATGTACTCATAGTTGTGGTATCACACATAGTAATATTTGAAACAATAAAACTATTTCAAAATAATATATGTAAGTTGGGGTTTTTAAATGTTTAAAGGATTGGAACAAAAAGGCCAAGCTCCATCTCCCACAAAGAGCAAAGCAGAGCAGCCTGCGGACCTCCAAGATGATGCTGAAGGTAGGTGGTCTGACAGCTTTTCAGAGCTATTAATTTTGCATTTTGGGGGAAAGGTTTGCTTTGAATTCTTGGGAAAGAACTGGAAAACTTTCATTTAAGAATGTTTGCACACACCTGGAAAGTTCCCTTTGTCCTAGATCATGAGATTGTAATTCTCCTGAAGTGTATGTCATCTCAAGGTAGATTCAGAATTACAAATGCTATTTTGATGTGATGAGCTACTGATTACTGCTGATATAAAAGCTGGTTTATCTCTAACCTGTTCTGACTTCGTGTGATTAATAATGCACAGCATAATGCATGTTATGAAGGGCTTGGATCAGTCTGGTTGGTTAAGTTGGTCAAGTAAATCAGCTACTTGCTGCAAAACACAGAGCAATAACATTCTTGCTTTCCTTTTCTCAAGAAATTTTTGCTGTATCCTTTTCCACTCCAGAAAGTCACAGGTGCTTAACATTATCCCTATAGTGTTGTTCCTGTAGAAAGAGGGCTTTCCTGTACTTTAGACTTCACAGGGCAGCTTGTCCATGTGTACGGAGGTAAATGTGGTCTACATTGTTCTAAATCAGGATCAAAGTATCTTTCCTTAATCTGTATCTCATTGGGAGAGTTGTTAAAAGATGTTAACATCAAAGACTTATCTTCAGAGTGTAGAGTTTCATGTTGTTCTCCTATGTGTGAAAGAGCAAAATGACCCAATGCTGGAGAATTCCCCTTATGTGAAGTAGTTTAAAGGATGAACCTTAATCTTTAATCTATGACAGTTTCTTATCATGGATTCTCTTTGACCTAATGTTCCTCAAATGACACATCTCATTCTGCACCTCAACCAGTGGCTCCATGATCTTCATCATTTTGACCTAGTGCTGTGCATTCAGCTCCTAAAATATTCTGACTGGGGTATAGTGTTGAGTCATAAAGAGCAGAAAAACGTTAACATCTATCATTTTAAGTAACTGCTAGTAACATCCTGTCACTAACATTGTGACTGGTTGTTAATGGCAAGTACTTAAAGCAATAGCTGTCATCGCCTGGAAGGTGTGGGGGTCCCAAGAAATCTCATCTGACTGGTCCTCTTTCCTTTCATGCTGCACTAAACCCAGCTGAAATTAAAATACCAGTTTTATGTTTGGATTAGAGAATTCAGTGATGACAAACCAGATATCAATTTGTATGGAGGCTAAACAGTGTGTGGGATCACAGTGTCATTTTCCATATCCCTAAAGAGGTGAAAAAATAATAGTTTTTATTATATATTTTTATATGGAGTGTGACTAAAAGCTCCCATTGTATCAGTGTCTTTAAAAAAAAAAAAAAAAAGTGGGGAAAAAATAGTGCTGCAATACTGTAAGGTTTTCCCTCCACTGGCAAAATAACTGATGCTGTTCTACTAACTATTTCTGTTGCTTAGTAGATACGGTTTCCTAGTTTACTGTGCTTGTCAATGTTTCCTGATGACCTACAGTTCACTTTGTGGAGCACAAACAAATGCATTGGAAGAGGGAATTAAATAGTATAGCAATAGAATGATTGCATTACCCTTGAGCTGTAAAATGCCTGAACTCCTTGAATTTGATGCCATATAGTAGATTTTGCTGATGCAGAATTGAGGCCTGTAACACATTGCTGCAGAATTTAATCTGGCCAGTGAGGGACTCCTGCTTAGGCAGGAATCAGGCCTGCAACGTTTAGAATTGAGTCTAAATTTAGACTTGAGGGTTGTTGTGATGGGGGGAAAAAAAAAAAGGTAATTAAAGTGTTTGCTGCGGGGGGCTGGGGAAGAAACCTGGATCAGATTTCTGTGGCATTACCTATGCCTCTGTTTTGAAGAGGAGTCAAGCAGTTAGGCTCCAGACACTGAATTCCTATAAAGTTGCCGAGTGGCGAGAATCTAATGTAACACACCTGTGAGCCATTTCCATTTAAGTAAATGGGATTTGCACACATTTGGCTGAGAACAGGGTTTAGTTTCTACTGTTCCATTTATTAGCTGTTGGTTTTGACTAATTAAAAGAACTTTAAATGGTGAGCCTTGAAGATTATGAAAGCTGTTAATATGTGACAGGAACCAGAACTACATGTCTGAATAACTTTATTTAGGTAGGAGTTTGTCTTCACTTCCAAAAAGCTGCCTTTTTTTTTTTTTTCTTTCTCTTTTTCTTTTTAAAAGAACTTCTAAGTAGCTAACGCATATAAACAGTCTCAAATAAAACACAATAAAGCAAACTCTGCCTGAGGTCAACTTTGTTGAATTTTCCTCATGGTAAAACTGAAGTGCTTTGTGTTCAGCGTGTTTTAACTTTGGGATAGTTCACATGCTTTAGGTACCTCAAGTTTGAAAGAAACCCAAAACAACCCAAACAAACAAAAAAAAACAGCAAACAAACAACAAAAAAAACCCACAAGCCATAGCTTTTAGCAATAAAAGCAAGTCCAGAGATACTTACACTTAACATAAGTTATTATTTTCCCCCTGTTAATGTGACCAGATATAAAATATTTAAGAAATATACTCTGAGGCATAGAAGGAACCAGATATTTTTTCCTCTGCTTAGTTGTCAGTGTCCTTTTAGACTGAAGATGGGAATACAACTTGCTATTTTAACAGCCTCATGCATGCCCTTGTGGCAGTGTGTAAAAACTATTCCACTGAGTTCAGTAATATTTCTGCTGTAATATTTTTCTCCAGCATGCCAAGCTGGTTCATTGGCTAGAGGTAATGGAGCAATATCTTTTCAGTGCATGTAAAAATCTCCACAGAAGATCAGGGAAAGTAGGCTTCTTCATTATTACCCTCTCTGCAATCAAGGAAAGTCAAATAAGTGGCTCTATGTAAGGAGCTTGTTTTGCAGTAAGCTAAAATAAACACTTGACATGCTAATGAAAGCAATTTTATACTGAACCTCTAAAGTATTAATGGTGTCTGTTATTATGCTATTAGATATTTATTATTTATTATATTGTTCTCTGCCTTCAGACCCTTGATAGAGAAAAGCAAGTGTGAACTGCATAGCAGATTCTCCTGTCAATGGTTGTATTCAGTAGTTTTTCATTACAGCATGGATTATTATCTGGGGAAACGGATAGACTGGATACATGGAGAAACATTCTTTACTGCCAGGTTCCCTGCAGTATTTCATGTTTGGCATGTGCAAACATGCAGTGTAATTTTCTCCCCCCCCCGCCCCTTTCCCTGATCCTGGGAGAGTAAAATCAGCCAATGATAATTTTGCCTTTCCCCTTGGTCAGGTGCACTCAGTGATTGAGTAATTGTAAAGTGTCAGGTGAGAAAAATATGTTCAGCACTTAAACAAAACTTAGGACATCTTACTTCATTGGCTTCATAACACAATCCTAAAGTAATTACATAGACAAAATGGCAGTACTTGTCACATCATAGCAGCCAGGAGTTAGCACAAATGCCACAGGTCACCTCTTCTCATCCTGCTGATTGTCACTAAGCAAAAGCAAACAATTTTTACAAGTCTAACAAAACAAAAGTTTAAAATGTTCCTTATCTCTCTTAGCTACCTCCCCAGATGTCCTTTTGTATGTACTGAATGGCAAGGCGTGAGCTATAGATTTTCTTGATACTGGGAGAAGCAAAACTCTTTGCCCTTTCCTGCCTTATGGGATTTCTCAGATATAAAATGGAGCCTGCCCAAGAGCTGCCCCATCCATTCCTACCATGGTCTGCAGGTGATCAATACAGTATCAAAGATGACTAATACATCTAATAACAGCGGCTCAAATGCCTGATCTTTCTCCTCCTTCTGGAGAAAGATGATCAGTCCATGTGGCAAAAGCTGGTTCTGTGTTTTCTGAGGTCAGGATCCTCCTTGCCCTCCCTCGAGAGACTAGACCTCTGGAAGTTGTCTTGCTCCAGCTTTTCTCATAAGGCTCTCCCAAAATGAATGACCAGATTCTTTCTGATGGATTAATAGGTTGTTGGTCTCATTCATTCACCTTAGCTGAGTCTCAGTGTATGTGCGAGGAGCTGGTGTGTTGGAATTGCTCATTGGGTTTGAACTTTGTCTTTCTGTTCACTTGGTGGGAAGGAGAACAGTTTGATGGATAAGCCAAGCGAGGAAGGTCAGAATGAACACAAATCACCTTTAAGATAGTTGTAGAGTTGCTTCCTTTGCCTGATGGGGTCATCACACTATCAACCCCTTGGCTTTCAAGGGCAACATCAAATGTCTGAAATGCTGCTCGACAGTGTCAGGAGTCTGAGGCTCACCACCAGGCTCCTGCCTTGCTCAGTGGACACTCTGGCCATGAGAAATGTCAATCTAGCCATTGGAGTACGCAGTAGAAATGAGGTGGAGTCGCATCCTATCTTGGCAACTCATCGGTTCAGCAGGTCACAGCAATTAGGTAGGATGCTCATCAAGAGGGATACACCCTCACTCCTCAACCCCTTCTCCCAAAGCATTTTTGTCCAATGACAGAAAATGCATAGTCTTGGAAGTAGAAAATAAAACTCATTTTATGGCTTAGTCTTTTAATTGTGAGATTAATGTATGACTTCCCCTTCCTGGTTTTCCTTTATATGCTGTAGATTTTGCAGCTTTGCTGCTCACTCCCTAGCTTCATAGAGAGGGATATAGTTGTACGCATGCACAAAAGTCAACAGTGCTTGGCTTGTGCTGCTTTCCTCTGAGGTGGGCTTAATCCTCCCTGGGGCTGGGGTGGGTGGGCGCATACAACAGCTGCTGTGTGTGTTACCATTGCTTGGCAAAGTATGTTCAAAGTATTGTTCCAAGCATCTTTTCTAAGGACCTTCTAATACTATTCAGGCCTGACGGTCTCAGTCTTTAAGGTGTGGATTAATATTAGCTAGATTTGACTTCTGATTAGTTTTCGAATGTTCCTTGGTTTATAGCAAACAGGTCTTGTATCATTTGAGAAATGAGAGCTACATTTCTTTTTTGCATCCCACAGGGCAGTAATATTCGTCAGTAGATTTCTGCTCCACTCATAGTGTACTAAAAATGAAC